TCTCTCTCTCTCTCTCTCTCTCTCTCTCACTCTCTCTCTTCTCGCGCTCTCGCTCTCTCTCTCTCTCTCTCTCTCTCCCTCTCTCTCTCGCGCTCTCGCTCTCTCTCTCTCTCTTTCTCTTGCTCCCTCTTCTCCTTCCCGCTTCCTCCCCTTCCCTGTATCTCCGCCTGTCTTCAGCCTGTGCTCACACCTTGTGCAGTTGGTGCCATTGCTCCCACTCAGTTAGCTTCTCTTGAAACGCAGCACGCGCAGACTTCTCCGCTCCCAGAACCACGGCATACCCTGAGTACCTGTAACAAAACACAAGCAACCATGAGACACGGGCAGACGCTGGCTGATCCAGGGTAGGGGGTCATCAGGGTCATGCCCCCTGGCGGGACAGTGTGACCACACAGAGACACACGTACTTCCCTGCCGGTCACTTTCTGTTAGGAAGATTTTGACGAGCGAATCGACTATAATTTTTACTCAGCGAACATTGATGAACAATCAGCTATATATTTATTTTTGTTTCATGTATTTTAATATGCGTCTTTCAGAGCTGCCGAGTTGCTGCGACCAACACTGCAAGAACACAGAATAAAGTCACGAATACCATATTTGATACTGTCATATAATTTGCCGCTAGAGTGAAAGTGCTTGCGAATATCTGCTACCATGCTGATAGAGAATAATTTTCGGACTTTGTCACAAGATAGACTAGTATAGTAAGCTGATAGCTAGATAGCTGATGAGCTAGTAGATATAGTAAGCAGATAAGTAGTGTGGCCGAGTTTGCCATCGAAGAAAAAACTTGTGACAGCTGTGATATCGAAAATAAACTAGTTCAGTTTTTTTGCGAAGTAAACATTCTGTGGATACCGATGTGATAGTTTTACAGTCAAGTGTGGCTGAGAGGGTCTATGTCCCCCAAGGTACTGCCGGAACGTACCCTGGTACTATCTAATATGCCGGACCGTACCTCGCCTACTCCACTAACGAGTCTAGGGAGTCGCCTACGTAGTACCCTAACCCTAACCCTAACCCTAACCATATTAGATAGTTACCAGGGTACGTTCCGGTATACCGGACCGTACCATTGCAGGGTACGTTCCGGCAGTACCTTGGGGGACATAGAATCTATGAGCTTAAGTGTGTTCATTATAGCGAGATTTCATGTTGAAGCTTACGCTAGCATTATTCTACTGAATGTCTGTCGTGGTGCAAAAATAGGGACTTACTACGGTACCTTGAGACAGCGCTAAATTTATGGTTATGGTTAGGGTATGGTTTAGAATTAGGGTTGGAATTAAATCTAGGGTTAGGTTTAGGAGTACGCTCCAACAGTATACACACATGGAGACATGGACCTTTTCAGTTCCAGCTCGATCCCAACACGACTAAAGCGTGACTACACACGTCATGTAGTGACGTCTAGAGTTAAATATAGATCTGCATAGTAGATGTAGACTATAGATGTATATAGATTTAGCGCCGATAAGGTATAAGTACTCCAGTTATCATGGCCAGCACACTGATTACTACGTGTGCGTCACAGTGCGTGTACATGTATGCACACACAAATATCTGATAGTTATGAATTAGGTTTGCGTAAATTATCCAGATCAACCGGACGAGGCAGTTCAGATTTTAGACTGACCACCACGTCCGCTCATACGACCCGCTGACCGTGGTCTCTGGTGATGGAAGGACTTTCGGGTACCGTCTAGCACTGACGGCGTGGTGCTGTACCATTTACTAACAGCGACAGACGTTACGTGAGCTAACATGAAATAACAGCAATGGAAGAAAAAAACGATCGCAAAACCCGCTTTCTAAAAGAAGCAAACCTGCTCTCCAGCAACCATGAAGGTTTGCAGTACTATTGCTACCGCACACGTGCCCTGCAGCCTAGCAATGTGACTCAGCGCGTGTATGCAGAGAAGGCAGAGTGCGCGTTAGCTCTAGAACTGTAGCCCTCCGCTCCGCCGCAACGCTCTAGAGCTAAGTGCGCGTGTACTCGGAGAACGGGGAGCCTTATCAACCGGCGAGTCAATAGACATCAGCAGCGCTAACAACAACATCAGGTTCATGGTGAAACTACTAACTACCACAGCACAAGCAGTACACTGACGACGGCGGAAGAGTGACACTGTGACTGCAGCAGCCGAGAGAGAGACGGATAGAAAGAGAGACGGGAGAGAAAGAGGGGACGAGACAGAGAGACGGAGAGAGACAGCAGACAGGCAGCCAAGACAGAGACAGAGAGACTGACAGACAGACAGAGAGCAAAGGAGAGACAGACAACCAGAGAGAGAGAGATAAACGACGCACATACCCCGGGTCAGATACCAGAGGAGATGCCAGCAAATACCCTGAATCAGATATCACAGCAGACAACGTAACAGAGGACAGTGAAGACAGCTGATCAGATATCATAGCAGATGCCAGCACCAGAGGACAGTACACGTCACTGGATCAATCAGACATCATAGCAGACGACGACACCAGACTGCCTAGATCGCTGGCGGTTGAACGGAGGAACGTGTAGCAAGAAGATCTACACGAGCTAACAGACTCGAGCGACAATGCTGCGCCACATTTCCGCGCCACTCGGGCGCCACCTACGCGCTCCACTTCCGCTGCCGTGCCGCCGGCAGACGACCCGCGCTGCCACACGAGAGGGCGCCACCGCCGCCGCCGCCGCGTCGCCAGACGGGGCCGCCGCCGCCGCCGTGCAGGACTTTGACGCGATGCCGGGCTACAAGAGCCGCCTGGGGCGCCTGTACACGTCGCTGCGGGTCGCCTGGCGCGTCTCCGACCTTCACGAGGTCGCCGAGGAGGACTTTGCGCGACACGGCGCGCGCACGATGCGCTGCGACGTCGCGTGGGAGCGCACGGTGCAGACGTGCGACCCCGCCGCCGCGCGCGACATCTTCCGCCGCACCGGGCCCGCACCCGCAGCGCCACAACATGGCCGCCTGGCTGCGCTACCGCGAGATGC